TGTTGGAAGACAAAATAAGAAACCAACAATCCAAATTTCAAGGAAAATCAGAGAAGGAATTCTGCCTGAATGCAATTTTACCTCCTACACTGACCAGCTAAATTCACCTAGGGATTTTTAAACTGTAGGACATACATAACTAACAGGATAAATAACTTGCAAGAGTATAATTTTTGCTTTAAACAAAAAAACTCCATGCAAACACTCCAAATGTACTGGAGAACAGACATTCACGTTGACAGCTGAATCCTTCAACTCTGAAATCAATACATGCTTTGCTTTCTACAGAACATGTACAAATGTACAGTAATAGTACTTGATTCATGTAATTAGAATAATATTATAATTAAAGACTCTATGGTATGATTTCTGCTCCTAGAATCTGATCTAATTTCTGTGAGAAATGCTCTTTTCCTATTATTAGGCTGTGTAACAGACCCACAGAGTTCAGGTCCATGAAGATCAAAAGAAAGGTTTTCAAGAGAGCAACAGGCATCATATCATTCTTTCATAGTCCAAATAGCAGTGAAAGAAAATGGAAAGGATACTAACTGATCTCTCAGGAATATGGTACAATAGGAGGGATTAATTACTTAAACCAATGCTGTCTTTGTCACCTACTTCTCTCTCTCCTAATCTGCATGCATGCAGCTTTAAAACACATAGTGATAAGCTAGTTTCATTAGTCTTTGTTAACACTGTTTGTGTACCTCGGTTGAGGGTAGCAGACTCTGAAGTAAAAAGTCTGTATTTTACCCTATGATTACCATATGACTGAAACACACAACACATTTCTTAAATATGTAAACCTCATTACAAACAGGATACTCTGGGACTGTGGTTTTTTTATTAGAATTATATGTATAAAATCCTACTGAGTAAGATTTTAGTCAGGCCATGCCAAATGATCAGTGATTAACCAACAGCACTACCTCAATTTGGCTGACAAAAGTTGAAATTAAATCTGATTAAAAGGAACCTAAACAAACCTGCACACATTTTTTTTTTCTATAAAAAAGATAAATTTAACAAAAAAAAAAAAAGAAAAAAAAAGAAAAAGTTTTGCTGTAATGTTATTTATATTATTTTGTTAGTGAGAGCAAATCAACTCTGGCTAAAACAGAAAGAAAAAAAAAAAAGAGAGAAACATTCTTCCAAAGAGCCCTGAAGTCTTCTAGAGGAAGGTGACATATGATGCAGTTTCCACTTTGTTAGCTCCATTTAAGGCTGTGCTTTGCAGTCTGGGTTAGCCACTAAAGACACACAGCAATTCAGCTCATCCCTAAGCACACACTTAACTTCCAGTGTACAAAGGTAGCCTCAATTATTTCAATGAGAATACTCCCGTAAATAGTGTCATGCAGGAATGTTTGCAGAACTGAAGCCTTTACTTGGTGATGTGTTTGAACAGCTTCACAATGATGTCTGTTTCCCACATCACACATAAACTGCTGTTTTTCCCTCAAAAGAAATGGAAGTGTTAAAATGTTAAAGAAATAATTCCAGTTAGGATTCTATTCTTTGAATACTTTGCTATAATAATAGTACTTTAATGTCCTTTTTATTGAAATATTATTTGCCTGACTTGCAGTGATTCTTTTGGATGAAATAGTTCTTCCTTCCTTTCTCTCTCAGATACTGTATTTCTATCTGTTTTTTAACACTAGATTTACCCAGGTCTGCTCTATACTACTGTGTTGGCTTTAGGCCTTACTGGCTTTTCCGGATACACTTCATATAGGTATATAAAATTATACAGTATTTTTTATTTGCTTTTAAACAACTGAACAGCAGCATTTTAAACTCATTGACACTTGTTACAAAATCCAGCCACAAGTTACCTGAAGACAGAAATGCATTTGCCTCTAGACTGTTGTGCTCTTATTTAAATAAAACAAACTCCGAAATGTCTATAACATTACCCAGTTGTACTCATCAGTAGATATTTATCATTGGAAACAACAGATTACATTGAAACATTTAACTGTTGTTACATTATTCAGGTTTTTTACACTTTTTTTATTCTATACCTTTGTTTTTCTTACATGAACTTGTATAATCTCCCCCTGTAGTAATAAGTCCCACTATAGAGAAACCACTGAACTCTTTAAGGATTTCCAGCACAGCAAATGTCTTCCTTTTTTTTTTTAATTTTTTTTTTTTTTTTTTTTTTAAATTAATTCATTATTTGTTAAGCAGTCCAGTAGTAGTACTAAGTGAGATCTCAGTACCTGACTACTTTATGTCCCCAATATGATTATGGTCATTGTCTGATGTGTTAGGAAAATTTTTTGGGGTTGTTTTTGTGAAAATTTTTGTTATAATATATAAAAATGCAACAAGAAATCCACTGTGAGGAGAGAAAAAAATGTAGAAAGTGCCAGCACTTTCATGTGAAAGGAAAACAATTCCATTGCAGCAGATCACAGAGATCAGAATATAGCTACAGTTAACCATAAACCTACACCCTTTTTAAGCATTAGAGTTACACTGCCCATCTTAAAAATGAGTAATATATGAAAATATAGGAAAAGTAGTGAAGTTTCAGATTTTTCATACATTGCACATAGGAATTTTGGAATTTTGTGTCTCTTACTTCAGAAGATTTCAATGTGAGCTATCAGCCTGCCCAGTAGTTGCCCAGTAGTTACAATTAACCCTGTACCATGACTAATTTCCTGTTTTAAATGTGGATTAATGAGAAAATTGTAACCAAGTGCACATTTGCACCAAAAAAAAAGCTTGGCTGGTTAACAACAAATCTGATTTTTTTTCTCAGTCTCATTTAATAAATGGCATATGAAATTTTCTAAAAGGCAAATGGTACTAATTAAACATGGTATGAGTCCCCCAGATAGTCAGTATAGCCATGAGGTATCCAAGGAATGTTTCCCCCCAGTATACATTATCTGTGTATTGATTTGATGGTCTGATTGGATAAAGTACTTGGTAGCAAACAATGTTTAAGGATTTGGGAACTGTACTTCTATTCTTACCCATATAAATGCTGCAGTTGCCAAGGAAAACTGAGATGGTTAATAAGCAAGCAAATTACGAACTAATCAGGACCAGTTTATTTTCATTCATTCATTAACCACTAATTTTGGTATTTCCTTTCAAACTTTGTTTTTACATTTAAAGCAGTGTTCTGTGATTCTTATATCAGAAACCATGAAATTAAAGTAATCGTCCTATTTTTTTAGCAGAAACAGTAAACTAGATTCCATACATTTTAATGACTAACAAACACCTAAAAGTAAGTTGTTGGGTTGATTTAGAAAATTCTGATATATACAGTGTGTATAGATACACTTTCATGTACCAAACATTAACTGCACTAATTAAGTATTTGTTCTAATATCTCTGTTAGGTATGGGTAAATTACTAACTGCAAATGTTAGTCCACCTCTATATCACTTTAATTCTCTTTTCAATTCAAAGATATCAGCTTCCTCTAGCATATAGTAGGTCAACTACTGAAAGGATTAAGAAATTGAATGCTGTGTTTGTTCTGATTCATAGTGATAACTTCAGGTAAAACTAACAGCAGCAGTGTATTCTCACAGTCATTATTTGGCTTATACTATCCTAAGCAAAATAAAAAGTAAAAGGGTTGAGTCCCCCGAGCTAAAATGTGAAAATGGTAAATGGCCTTCTGTTAACCAGAGTATTTCTGTGCAAGAGAACAACAGTATCAACACCACTATGTCTAGCATCAGTAGGTTATTTTTATTGAGACACTTCTTGAAGAGTAACAGAGCACCAGTTTGTGGCTTGAAAAGTAGCACTGACTCCTTTGTAGTTCCAGTAAATGTCACAGTAGTAAAAAAAGACAGTACAATTTCAATAGTGCTCTGAATTGGCCAACTTACTCAATCTACCACCACCTGCTAAATCTATTATCACCACTAACACAAAGAAATGAAAACTGCTTCCTAGTCCCCAACAGCTAAATATGCACTCTGCTTTTGATAATGAGACTTGAGAAAAAGCAGTGAGAGTTAAGTAACAAGGGTGCCACTCAGTTTTAAAGCATCCTGAAATAAAGTCACCTGTGACTCTTTCACCAAAAATAAGACGACACTAAAAATAGACCTGTAATATTAATAGCCTGCTGCAAAAGAGTTTTAACACTTAAGATACAAAAGCTTCTTCCCTAATGAAGCATGGCAACCGAAGAATGAATTCTGGACAATAATGTTATTTTTACACTTCCTGCACACTATGCTGAAAGGTGCTACCAGACTCTTACCTAACCACAAAAAACATTGCACATACACTTATCTTGAAGGCTCTACTTTAACAGGTGGTTTCAAAATATTTTCAAAGCATATGGAAACATTAAGTTTATCCTGTAAACTTAAGGTCCTCTGCTCCTGACACGCTGTATCAATGAACTGAAAAGAGCAATAACATTTAAGGTGGTTGAATGCTCATTATGTAAAACAAGCTGCATTTTCCTGCTCTACCCACAACATTATTTCTAATTGTGAAATAGAATAAGAACTGTGCTCTCTGCCTTACTGCTCTAAGATTTAAAATATCATTTCACTTTAAAAAACACTTGCCCTTAGAGGTTTTTAAAACTGAAAAATTCATGCATGATTAACAGTTCTCACATCAGGAGTCTTTCTTTCCTCCTGTATATTGCACCAGACATATTGAAAGCCTACGTATCCAAGATATACAGTATGCTAGATAACATTAAAAACCTAAATTCAGAAGAAGGCTACAAAACCCACATCAAATCAGCTTCTAGCTTAGGAACAAGATTTTTATACAGCTGTAGAACAATATTTACAGGTTTCCTTTAATGTAACAAATTAACACAGCTTCCCAACCCTTCCTTCCTGCATTTACATTTCATGTATTATGCACAAAAAAAAAAAAAAAAAAAAAAAAATACAAATAGAGATCTTTTCAGCCTGACTATCCTGTCAGCAAAACCAGCAGAGAATTTTTCACTGATAAAAACAGAGAATGGAATAAGACAGACTAACCTTCACAATGTACGTCACACCAGGTCCCAGGATCTTCTCACTTGAGTGCAGCCATCCTCGAGTGGATTTATTGACAAAACTGCTACTTTGATTCCAATCTTCACTTCCCAGGTGCATTTCCTCTGACCATGCTTTTTTCCCCATACTCATCTTGCTCACGTCCTGCTGAGAACACGAAGTGGCAGAGACAAGGTTACATGTGTTGTCTGAAGCCCCTGCTGCTGAACTAGAAGCACTCGAGCTTCCCTGCAATTTGGAGACAGCAAGCTCCTTTACTGCAGAGGAGAGGTTTTTGATACCCAAAAGGCTGCCCGTGCCAGAGAGTTTCAAGTGGGACACTTTATGGAGGAGGGTACACAGGGTGGTGGGTCCATCTTCTTGGTCCTTGCGGAGACGCTCTGGTGAGACCAGGTATGAAGGTGAAGCTGAAGTTGTAGAAACTGCTGAGACCTTGCTGTTCATGGGCAAATTGTGAATAAGATCATCAACAGATGTCACAGAATCATTCCTGAAGCGGTTATACTTGGTACGTTGAAGCATGCCCTTCTATCTGCTTTCCTGCATATGTTCTGGCAAATCTGATGCCAATGCAGGAGATGCCTGTACTAACATAGCAAGCAATTCATAACGACACGGAGGGTTAAAAAGAGTTTAGGGTAAAAAAGAAAAGAGTATAAGGAAAAACTAAAAAATGTATATTTTAAAGAAATTTCTTTTGGTTCCCTGTTAAGGTTGGGTGAAGTAACAGTTTTCTGTGACTGAGATCCCAGTCCTGCTTAGTGCTGCCAACTCGCTCACAGCAAAAGCATGACTCACACAAATGAGAAGGACCCTTTTCAACAAAAGGCTGTGAACACTGCAAATCACTTCCTGTAGCCAAAAAAAAAGGAGAGAGAAGGAAAAAAAAAACCCACATCCACCCACTTACAGCACACTAGCACCAATCAATTCTCAAATTCCCTTTTCCTATCTTCTCAAACAGATACTTCCTCCCAACCTTTAATTCCTATCCCCTCCCACCACCCTTTTAGTACCAAAGGCAATTACCTTTAGAACTGAATTAAAAGCCTTTATGAAACACCACAGTTTATTCATCTGTTAAAATGTCCTTCCACCTCACATATTTGTGAATATATAAAGAAATCATAATTAGATAGAAAATATCTAGATAATATTTGCATACATATAGTCCCCCTCTCCTGCCCCTGCAGCAGAACACAGACACCTTAAAGGTTTTCAGAACAGATGAACAGAACTAGAGAATATATACATTTTTTTCCACAAAAGCAGCCTAACAGTGCCTTTTTTTCAATGCTATCCCTCACAGAAACTGTTAAATTCAAATTTTGATACAGAAAGAAATCCTTCTTTCCTGTTACTTGACAAGAACATTCTATTTTAATGCAGGAATTACATAAGTACCTATGTGTGAAGAAAAGTATTTTCTGATGTCCGACAACAGGCTTAACTGATGTTTTTTTCTTTCACAACTGATATTCACTCCGTAGAAAAACATGAAGAGGATCTTCAATTCACTGGAATGTTTGGTTTAATTCTGAAAAACCGAAAAAGCCCTGAAAGAATATTAAAAAGTCCAGGTAGCAGCAAACTGACATCCTGCAGTGAAAAAAAAAAAATAAATAAAAAAAGGAAAAAAAAAGGTAAAGGAAAAGAAGAGCCTTTATTAAGCACAAATGTCAGTCACAAACACTTGATCTGGAGAAGTAGCAAAACATGCAGAAAATAAGTATTTCATTTCTCCTGCAATTTATTTAAATGTCCAAATGTGTGCAGCATTGTAATACACAATGCCCATCACAAGCCATATGGCTTTTTCCTATAAATCAATCTGCTTTGCAAAACATTTTTTGGATGTAGGACAATACACTGCATTATTAACAAATTCAGACCTGAGAAGTTGCATAGTGCAAAGTAATTTTTAAAATAAATTACTAACTGCAGCACAACTTAAATGAAAAAAGCCTATGGAATTCTTTCCTTCTCCCACGACTAAAGGCTGCAGTATACGAACTGCAAATACAGTGAAACAGCCAGCTTAAATACAGGTATTTAATTAGTATATTCATGACATACTGAATTAAGTCAGCACCTCTTATCCCAGCAGTGATGAATAATGGCAATGTCCTAGTCAATGTAAAGCAGTTTTCTACTGATCTGCAGAGCAGCCTTTCATCACCACACTGCAAACCTGCTACAGCATCCTCACAGCATTCATTCCTCTCGTCATCCTCCTAGCACAGCAACAGCAAATATACACACCATAGCCTATTTTTACGTGTCTCTACTGCCCAGAAAACCCTACTGCTCCCGAACGGCTCTCCTCATTAGAAGCGGCCAGAAGGACTGCAAAATGTGAATGAGATGCCGCGCGTGTGAATGAAAGGGCTGGCTAGCATCCCCACATTTCTGTGAATGAAGCGAGGCCTCGCAGCCTCTGCCAGGCAATCCCTTGGGTGCTCACCAGCCCAGCCAATACCAGCCGGCTTTGATGACTCATTCAGCAAAGCCTTGCTAAATAGTGGAAGATCCCATTTCCAGCACAGGCGGCACCTTTTTTGCTGCAACACCAGAAAATGAAGCCGGCGTGTCAGCAGGCAGGAGTGGGTCGCGAAGCCCCCGTGGAAGACAGGGTGATGCCAGAGAAATGCCTGGGGTGTCTACAGGAGTAGCAGGTGAGAAAAGCGGTGGAGTTAGATCTGTGTTTCTCCCCGACTGTGTTCATTCAGCCAATTCATTTACATCCAGGATAGGAACATGAATGTGCACATTTCGTTTGATATTCGATTGCTCTCTGTGCGCCCGCAGATTCACAGATTTTGCGGGTTTGTCTTCAGAGACCTCTGAGAAAATCAAATCAAAACAAACAAACAAAAAACCCCGCAACAAACAAACAAACCAACCCCAAACAAAAACCTCAACCAACCAACAAAAACCCCCATAAAAATAACCACAAAAAAACCCCGAAGCTGTCCTTGAAAAAAAATTGCATATACTTATTTCTCCCTTATTTATCCTGTTAGCACAGTAGATATATAAAAAGCAGTATGATCTTCACTCCAGGGAATGGTAGGCAAAGGGAAAGCTAGAGGATAAAAGCTTCCCAGAGCACCACCAAAAGATTTTTCACTAATTTTTGAAACTTTCACTGGATAGAGAAATGCTTCCAAGGCATCCATTGGATGCAGAGCTCTCCTGCAAATCTGACATTAGACAATGCAGAGGGGTAGACACCACTGAATTGCCCAGTGCTTAAAATCCAGTGCCTATTCCAGTGTCTGATTAGGAAACTGCCTCCCTTACAACAAATCCAGTCCTCGGGCAGGAGACCTGAACATCTCAAAACCTTGCCTTTTATAGTTCCTGGGACTAGAAACAGTACATAATTTTGCCCTGCAGGCAGCAGGTTCAAATCCAACTCCAGGAAATAATGAATGAAATTAGGAGATTGTGTTATAGGCATAAACTGCAATTTAAATTAGGATCTAGCTCATTCTAGCTATTGCCAGAGCATTTATAATGTCTTCTGCATTTCCAGCACTGTGTCTGGAGTTTGCACACTGACTTTACCATGCCTGCCTTAAACAAGCTTGTTGCTGCTATTATCATAGCAAGACAGCAAGACATTCAGAGCATTATTTCTTTCTTACTTCTATTTGCAGCCCATGTTAAGTCAGCACGTAAAGTGGATCCAAGTTAAAAATGAGCTTTTGCTTCTTCTCCTCTTTTTTTCTTTTTGCAGGCCTGTGAGCCAGACACTACAACATGATTAATAAATGGCCATGGAACAATTAGTTCTTTGTCAACCCAGTAATAAAGTGGCAGGTGGAAATTCAATGTCAGTAAGTGAAAAATAATATATAATCCTAGAAATATATACACAGTGAGGGGTGTACACTGCCTCTGACAAAATACAGCATTTCTTACAAACTAGTGGTAATTTTGGCATCTTGGACCATTCTTCTTTTTTTTGATTTTTTTTTCTGTTGTTTTTTTCATCTCTGGATTTTTTCTCATGGATACCCTTCTCACCCTAATTCAGTTCTTGTTTCATGTTACTGTTCCTCCTTTTCTTCCTCCAAGCAGCTCTTAGGGGCTTATTCTTAGCTGCCATCTTATTCCTTCTGTATCTAAACTACCTCTGCAGCCTGTATTTCAGAAGCTACTAATTTTTATTAACCACAAAGGGTAAGAAGAGAAATTATGCTGGGGGCATTATCAGAGGGAGAAACTACATTTTGCTGAGATTTAAATGGTTTTAAATTGCTGCAAATGTAGGAGACATTGCCAATACAAAAGCCAAATCAGGTAGGATGATGTGATCACCATAAAGAGGAAACACAGGGAATACCACAATGTTCCCCAGCCTATAGTAAGAAACTCTCCAGAATGCAAGCCAGGTGACTTTCAGTGATCATATTCAGAGAAATATTAATTATATAATCAGGGTCAGCAAAAATACCTCATTCCAGTAACACACTGTGGTCAAGTATGTACTCTATACAAATAAGTGCTAGAAAATGTTGAAATTCTGCTGAAATATTTGAATTTATAGAGTTATTGCCTGGTAGCAGCAAAATTGCTTGTTGACTAAACTGAATATAAGACAAATGAGAAAGACATTGACTTTGGACCAAAAAACCCTTCAAACTGAATTTGGCTTAGCTAATTTATAAGAAACACTGAATTATGTCAGACAAACATAAATACAGATGTTGCTAAGTACAAAAGAATTAGCCATAGGGCATCACAGTTAACATTCCTCTTTATGACAAGTCCTAAACAATTTCTGTTACTGTGATGTAACATTAAGCCATCAGCAAATAGGATGCTATTCCTCACGTTGTAATATGATGGACACAAGTGTTAATGATCTGCTTTAGTAAATATTCTTGTTCAATCTTCAATATTAACAAATGGTCAATTTCTGAAATAAAAAGGTAGCATGTCTATAGTACAAAGATTTCTAATATCCTGTGGGGACATTTCTTCTTTTGATAATTAAGAAGGAAAAATATCAGCATTCTTTGCACAACACAAGATAAACATATATCAGAAATCCCTTACCCATGTATTTATTAATCAGGCTAATCCAGCTTTATATGAGGCAACCTCAGATGACGTAGTTAACTGAAAATCAAGATAACATCAGGGTAAGCTAAAAGGCATTACAATCTAATCTTCTTATGAAGTATGTAGCTTTTAATTAAAAAACAATAAATTCTAAACAATTCTGTATGTTCTGATGTATATATCATATATATATGATATCATATTAGGTATTCCTCTGTTTCTCTGATCTACCTGCACACAAACCTCCTATTGTTACATCCTATTGTGATTTCAAGGGTGGCTCATACCATAGCTTCTAAAATACAGCCACATAATAAAAGCACTGAACTTCCTCTCAGTTCCAGGACTATATACTTCTACTTCAAAACATTTTTCAAGAATCAAAGCATAGACTGGATTCACATCACTTGGAATTTTTTTTCCCTAAAGGGTGTTGGAGTCCAACCTCAGCTTACTGTCCTATGCAAAAAAACCTGAAGGCCTGTAGGTAAAGGGTGGTGTTTACCCATAGCAGAAAAACCAATCACACAACCAAAATCCAAGGAACGTTCCCTTCCTCCAAAAAACCCAACCTGAAACCAAAAGTATTCTAAAAACTTCTAGTTCATTTATTAAAAAAAAAATAAAATAAATTGCCCCCATCTCCCTTTCATCCTCACCCCTTTTCTTTCACTGGATCAGAGTTTTGCTGTTTCCGTGGCAACATTATTGCTAAGGGTGGGCTGCACCAGGAGATGGGAGCATAATCTGTGGTTTTGCAAATTACTTGTCTGGAAAACAGTACTGTTGAAAGTGTTACTATTCAAGATCAGTTATTATTAATCATTAATCATCAACTTTCAACTTAGATTACACCAGTGGAGTATAAAATTAAGTTCTAAAATATGCTTACAAATTTTTATGCAGATGCTTTTATTTTGAACCAGAAGCTGACCCTAAACAATATTCAGGATGCTGTTTTTTCTGTTAGTTGGAAATACTGAAACCATTTTTTCTTAAGACATGTTCACCAATTGAAATATGACATGAAATATTTGGAAGCAAATGAAACTTGTGATTCCTTCTGCTCCATTAGTAGTTCCTGAGAGCCTACTGTTAAAAGTCAACACACTACAAAAGTTCACAGAAAAGACGGATCTGAGATAATACCCAAATCTGAACATGACACTGAGTTTTGTGAGGAAGGATCAGACAAGGAAGTGCATTAAAATCTACAAACCAACACTAAATCAACTCTTGCAAACCCCCAAATTTTAATTAATTCTTTCTTTCAGCCAGACACTGAAATTAGCATCAGTGTGACAGAA